GGCACTGTAGGTTGCTGTATGACCTTCACTGATGTGTGTATAATTTCTTATCATAGTTAGACACCCAAATATCATTTCCGGATTTCAATACCTGCTGATTAAAATGTGAGGAGGAATTCGTTAGCTCTCAACACATGTGGGAGTAATGAGTCGACTGAGTGTTTGCGTTCGCTTGTGTTGATTTTAATTAAGAAATGCTTTTCACTGATGAGTCTCTCACTACAGGAGATATGTTTTCTTGCCCATTAATTTTTGACGTCTGGGGGAACTATAATGTAGTTGTCTGTGTTTGTTGTCTTTCCATGCTTTACGAGAAGAACCAAATGGGATAGGATGCTCATACTTGACCTGAATAACTGTGTTAGTGATGTCATTGTCAGGTTAAGACTATGAAGATCACGACTCCCCAACACTCGACCCCTGGATACCTCGGCATGGACGGTTACATAGCTATGCGCTCACTTTCTTGTGGATTGTTTTAAACCTTGCTACACTTGTTACTGTAAACAATGGACTGTGTTTGTAACATTGAATAACACGTTTTGTTATGAACTTTGTAATTATTCAGGTCCTATCCTACAGTCCTTTCCACAGAGGCTACCCAGTGTAGAGGACTCCACCTGCAGTAGTGTTGTGAGTCTGGCCACAGTTATGTATAACCTACTGTAATGATTAGTGAAAGGTGTGGTGGAGATGATGGTGACCAACTGAAGAGAAAGAATGCAGTCTTGTCATCTTCACGCTGTTTCCCATCAACTCTGTATACAATGATGGGGTGGTGGGCGGGACGGGGGCAGTAATACTCGCATATATTAATAAAACCCTTTGTTGCTTTAATGGCCTTGTTCATATTTCATTAATTACTGTATTATTTGAAGCTGTAAGCAGAATAAAATTCACTGGGATTACAAAGAATAATACGTAGCTCTTATAACGAGATCTATTATTTATGAATACTCATTATAATTGAACAATATTGTGCAGGTCCATATTTTTTACTTTTTTGGGTAAAATAAATAAGTGACCGTTGTAAAAGGTTCTTAGCAATATCTCCGTGATCGTTGGATGAGAGGGTCGTTAGGGTAAAGGTGGGTCCACACCAACGGCACACTCTTGGTAACACTGTCGTCAACGTGTTGAATAAATGATGTCAAAATTATTGGAAATAAAGGTGAAATAATCACATAGTCCACACCAGTCAGTTTACTGACATATTTCTGTTAGCGACAATGTTTGCAACACTGATGTTACAAACATTATCGTGTAATTTTCACACGTTACCAACATTGTTGCGTGAGTGTGGATCCACCTTACGGAGCTCCCTGGGTGAAGTCACTACAGCAAGATGGCTGCAAATGTAAGGTAGCCATTAGAGTAAGGTGGTCGTTGGAGTAAAGATGATCTCAAGATAATGGTAGTTGCTGGAGAAATGTGATCACATTACATGTACAGTACTGTATTAATCCGAAACCAAGGATATAGAGCTGTGTTTGTACAGGTCATTGTGACACAAGCACACTTTAACAGAAGAACATACAGAGACACAACCTGACTCCCTCACATTACCCCGGAAATACGTCCCGTGATATAATGATGTGTTTGTTAAGATTATTTAGTTGAGGAATAAAATTATTTGTTGAAGACTGTAACTGATTATCGAGAGAGGAAAATATTTGCAGAGAAAATCTTACCAACGAGTTATAATTATACACAAGTGCTAAAATTACTTGTTAGTGGGATGTAAAAGATAATAACATTCCCTTAATGAGGTTTGTGTACTTTGGCAAACTGTAAAGAAGCAAGCGTTGTTTAAAAGTCATTAACGAGGCGGGTTGAGTCGGCCGTTCCACCTCTATAACCTTGCGAGCCTCACCAAGTGCCAGAAACCTGTTTATGTTCAAATTAGAGGACAATTGGGTCACACTCGGGAGACTTGAAGCCTTTGACAAGTTTTGTGATTAAGAGCTCCCGCCATGCTGCTTTTAGTGACTCCGTTTGATGGTTGTCCTGAGACCCTGGAACTGGGTAGGTGACACTAGTAGCTGTGTAAAGATGATGATATAATACACGACTGCGTTTCAACAGCTAAGGTCTTTAAACACGTATAGTAGGTTAATAATTACGCTGATATATATATTTCAGAATATCACCGTCAATATTTGTTTCCGTAATAATTATGGTCTACATAAACGTTTATTATTATTGTTAGTAGTAGTAGTAGTAGTAGTGTTGTTACTATTATTTGAATTATCCGTGTTCAATATTCCAAGTTTTATTTGTTTGTTATTTATGTATCACAATACTTTGTGAGTTGTCTCGATTATCGGCACTGTTATCTGACACTAGTTTGTTAAGTGTTCATATTACCATTACGTACTATAGATTACGTTATTTTTTGTATTTACGATGAGACTACTTCGAGGGTCAACAGTAAAACAATATTTATACAGTATTTGTCGTCCTGTGTGTCTGTATGTGTGCGTGTGTCTGACTGCACACTATTATACCGACAAATCTCATTAGATTGTAACCAAACTTGTTATGTAGGTTTACCACAACAACATCCCAGACGAAAGAGGAAATATACACAAATATTGAAATGCTTTAGCAAACGCAATAAAAATGTAAACATGAGTAAAACATGCTTAGAATTTATTACACTGCCGCGGTATAACGTAATTGGAATCGAGGTACAATCATATTTACTCAGCTCAGGTACTCATACACTCAAGACTTTATGATAGTGGAAGTTGATGTACGGTACATTACCACCTCAGGCTGATGGTAATAGTCGATGCATAAATACACTCACACATACCTGTATAGAGGCTACTGGCTATGGCATCCCAGCCCCTTAGCCCCAGTCAAGGAGAACAGGGATGTATAGGTGTTTCTCCCTGGCTAGATATGAATGTTAGGTTACGTCGTCGTCCTTTTGATCGTAGCGATACACTGAGCCGGTGTGTGTCAGGTCGCTGGGTGATCATACCGGGTGGTTAAGAATGATCTTCCCTATTTTAATTTTTATCATGGAAAAATCCTTACAGAGCGACAGGCGTTTTCCTCTGGGGCTGTGTCAAGAAGGATGTTTTTGTTCCATTAGCGGCAGCAAATTTGAAAAATCTGAAGGAATTGATGCGTGAGGCTGTTAGAAAAGTTCCGTATAATATGCTACAAAATGCATAGGGGGAAACAGAAAACCGCTTTGATGTCTACAGCACCACAAAAAAGACCTCATATTGAATTTATACAACTTGAAAATGCAAAATTTTTGAGCTATTCCATATTATTATACGGCATCCTGCTTTTCGTTGTAGCGTTGTAAGTTGTTTCTTCAGAAATGTTTATAAGACGGAATATCATTTTGTAAACATCCGGTAGAGGTAACTTGGTTCTCCGGTGTGTACAGTTAAAAGAGAGAGATGGCGCTGCTGCGGACACCAACACTCTAACAAGGTGGTGGATGGGGAAGTAAGACGGTGGAGAATGATGGAAGGAACAGATGTTGAGAGGAAGGCCCCGGGTACCTCACCTTTACCGTGCCGTAGTCAGCCTTCATCTCGTGGAAGCTTCAAAGGAACTCTTATGAGGCGTATCGGAATATCTTCTTTTTTTTTTAGTGTTTTGAAAGAATAATAGTTTAAAAGTGGTGAGATTCTTGAAGAAGTTATTTCACTTTCCCTCCCGTTCTGTATTGATTCATCATTTAATAAAAGCTCTGGTGATGAAAGCTGCACAATTAAAACTTTACCTTACTACAGCTTGTGTTATCTAGAATGATGAAAATTGAATTTAATCGTTGTTTTAACTTTTAACTTCCTTCAACTGATAAACTTTTGTTATATTATGCAAATTGGTGTTTCTTAGCTGTTTAGTGTGATCCATCTTGGGAGTAATTGTGTACTGCTTACGAGTCCCAGAAGCAGTGAGTCCCGGTAGCAGTGAATCCCGGTAGTAATGAGTCCCAGTAGTAATGAGTCCCAGTGGTAATGAGTCAATGTGGTAATGAGTCCCAGTGGTAATGAGTCAATGTGGTAATGAGTCCCAGTAGAAATGAGTCCCAGTGGTTATGAGTCCCAGTGGTAATGAGTCCCAGTGGTTATGAGTTCCAGTGGTAATGAGTCCCAGTGGTAATGAGTCCCAGTGGTAATGAGTCCCAGTAATAATGAGTCCCAGTAACAGTTGTCCCTCTTAATTAATATATATATATATATATATATATATATATATATATATATATATATATATATATATATATATATATATATATATATATATATATATATATATATATATATATATATATATATATATATATATATATATATATATATATATATATATATATAACGAGAGTAGTAGTTAAATAACACATTAATACAATATTGAACCGGAGAGAAATATTCAAATTTTGTTCATTTGTTCTCAACTCTCGCCTCTGTGACTATGGCAGCTCATGTGTATGTATAGCAAGACCTATCAGTGTGACCTTTAACCTTTTGTTTCTTTCGACAGGTACGTGAGTTTCCTGTCTCCCTGTCGGTGTGTGGTGGACAGATCGAGGCCTAGACAGACAGATAAACAGACACAGCTGCTCAGGTATGTACAGTACAGTGTGTAACCCGTCCCGACTGAGTTTACAAGAGGAATGTATTCACCGAGAGGCTCGAAGGCGATGCTTTGAATGGTATTGTAATTCGATGTTTTGGTACTGAACTGACGAAGGTAATCCCTGACTCTTAGGTAATGTTTAGAAGCAAGTAAGTTTCAGGGTGGATGGAGGGTGTGTGTGGAGGAAGGGGGAGGATATAGAGGGGGTTGTTTGTTTGATGTATGCAGGCGTGGGTTCGTGTTGTTGTTGTGGTGGCAGTGGTTGTTTTTGTTGTGGCGACGGTGGTGGTTGTTGTTGTGGCGGTGGTAGTTGTTGTTGTTGTGGAGGTGGTGGTTGTTGTTGATTGTATACGGTCGGGTCCCCTGAGCCACTGTCAATCCGCCTCACCATGCATGTTCATCAGACGGCGCTGTCCTCAACCGAAGCCACACCTGTTGCTGCTCTCAGAAGCCACACCTGTCGCCGCCATCCGAAGCTACACCTGTCGCCGCCCTCAAGCCACACCTGTCATCCCTCAGAAGCCACACCTGTCATCCCTCAGAAGCGACACACCTGTCATCCCTCAGAAGCCACACCTGTCATCCCTCAGAAGCGACACCTGTCATCCCTCAGAAGCGACACACCTGTCATCCCTCAGAAGCGACACACCTGTCATCCTCAGTCATCCCTCAGAAGCGACACACCTGTCAGAAGCGACACACCGTCATCTCTTGTCATCCCTCAGAAGCCACTGTCATCCCTCAGAAGCGACACACCTGTCATCCCTCAGAAGCGACACACCTGTCATCCCTCAGAAGCCACACCTGTCATCCCTCAGAAGCGACACACCTGTCATCCCTCAGAAGCGACACACCCGTCATCCCTCAGAAGCGATACACCTGTCATCCCTCAGAAGCCACACACCTGTCAGCCCTCAGAACGCACACCGCCTCGCTTCTCTCAGTGTTATTGTTCTCCGCCGTCTCCCTGTTACATAATCGTCTCCTAAGCTCCTGTTGTTGTCCTCCACTGTCTGTCAAGAAACATATTGGTCTTTTAGTCACCTGTCTTTGAAAATCACCCTCGCTGTCTGTTTAATGGGTGTCAGTTCCTCGCTGTCAGTCTTAAAGGTCGGTAGTCCCTCGCTGTCTGCCTTGGGCCTGACTCAGTGTGGCGGAGGGAGTGAGCTGCCTTTGTTGGGTTTGTTTTTATATGTTTTATGTTTTTTCTTTTTGATATCAGTTATTTTGTCTGTTTCCTCGTTTCCTCTTGCGTGTTTGTCGGCGCTTTATCGTAGGTATATTTGCAGCTGTTTACTTCATACTCTCAGGTCAATTTCTTGGGGCTGACAGACTAAGAAACTGTCGTCTTAGGATGAAATCACTCTCAGGTCAAGGTAGTTAAGATCACATTTATCACTTTATTTGATCATGGTGATAGAAATATTAATGAAGAGGCGTTGTTCTTTATCATAGTTATATATTCTCAGCCGTAACCTTACCATTTTGATATCAGATTTTAAAGGGGTGTTATTGAAAGATTCCGTATACGTGTTTTTCGAGGTTTGTCCACCATCAAAGTTCAGACTCGAGGGTTATTCAGATGGTTCTGACTAAGCTATTGTCTGTAAGTGTTTAAATATCAGATTTCGACCTGCCGTTGGGGACTTTGGGGGTGAATTTTGTCCTTTGAATATTTTAGTGCTACCAGGTCAGCCAGGGTCAAGGTCACGTAGTCAGAGGTGATGTAAATTACATTAAGTTTTGACTCCCAAACCTTCAGACTAATCCCAAAAGAAGAAAAATAATATATTACGGGTATTAAGTTTCTACCTTAAGTTCTGCATTAAAGACGTTCTCCTTTCCTGGTTACGTACTATTTGTGAACATGTATGTGTGCGTCGCTGTGTGTGTGTGCGCTTGTATGTGTGCGTGGAGAAAAGGGCAGATAAAAATAAAGTGTTGTTATGGCGGTGTTGAGTGGTGGCGGTGGCCGTGTTCATTACCTTATATTAGTGTGATTGTTGCCTTGTGTTGGTCGCCCCTGCTCACTTAACGCTCACACCTGCTGTTTCCTGTCCTGTCTTCCCTCCACTGTTTCTCCTTCATTGTTTCTCCTTCACTGTCTCTCCTTCACTGTCTCTTCTCCACTGTCTCTCTTCCACTGTCTCTACTCTCCGATTTCTCCTGTCTCACCTCCATTGTCTTCTCCTCTTCTGTCTTTTCTCTGTCTCTCCTCTCCCCCATCTCTCCTAAAGCTGACACAATTTAGGCCTTCTATGGGGGTCATATCAGGGGCTTGAAGGTGGCACGATACTACTGTGTGTGTGTGTGTGTGTGTGTGTGTGTGTATGTGTGTGTGTGTTTATAGCGTCTCTATGAGCCCCGCAAGAAACCAACATCATGTCAACTTATGAACCCCTGACATGACAACACCCCGTCCCCCCTGTCTGACACGACACTAAGATGACGGCCAAAATCACGTTTTAAAGTTGCACTGAGACTCAACTCTTACCTGGAAGGCGTCCTCTTATGCCCAGGTACGAGGAGGAAATTTGACGTGTATGATCTTATTTATCTTTTTTGAGAATAAGGATCTTGGAGTTTACATTATTATACTAAGGCAGGGGTTTGAGTTGGTCTTGTACTGATGGAGGTTATATGTGGGTGATGTGTCCGTTCTGCAATGTTTAGCCAAGAGATGGGATGTGTATGGTGTGACCTAGAGTAACTTGGTGTGATCTAGCCTGCTCCCGGTGTTTGACCTAGTGTTTAACCTAATGTGACCCCGATGTGTAACCTAGTTTGAACCTGTGTTAAATAGTGTGACCCAGTGTGTATGGTCTAGTATAACCACGGGTGTGACCCCAGTGCGACCCCCTAGCGTGTGACCTTTAATGTGACCCGGTGTGTGCCAAAAGTGTGACCTATAGTGTAACCCAAGTGACCCGGGATGATCCGAATGGTGTGACCCGGTGCTGGAGAGCGATATTTTAATAGTTGTCATTAGACTGGTAGAGCCTCTAGATCCTTAGAACCTAGCTAGACTTTAAACCATTTACACCTCGCGTGAATTTTGATGGATATTTATGGTGTAAAGTGTGTCACACCCTCGACGGCTCGCTCAAGGCTGTTGATGCTACAAATACGCTTGTTATCACTGTATAGAGTCGTGGGCGTTATACTTCCGGAGGAGGAGGAGGAGGAGGAGGTAGGATGATTGGAGGTGCGAAGGAGTTTTGTTAAGTGAAGCATCGAACCATATTATGTCTTTATGAGGGAAGAGTTTGTTTTGTGGGGGGGGGGAGGTTGTTTTGGGTTTTTGGACTTTTGGTCTGATTTTACGTTTCTGGTGTTCCACGTTTCAAAGATTCGTAAATCAACTTTCTTTCTCTAATGATAAGAGAACGAATCGTGGGACATTCAGTAGACTCTCAGTGCAATTCTGATGGGTTTGATACGTTATTACTATTACACTTACGGCGGAATATCTTGAACTACCTAGTATTCTGGCGAGGACTTGTCACCAGTGTTGAGAGCGACCCATAACTAACCAGCTCCTACCCTATTTCTTTACGAGTAGGCACCTCTCCTTTCCCAGAGTACTTTCCAAATTACTTTCTGAGTAACTATGGCTTGGTCGGCCTGAGTGAGTAGCTCTGGAGAATTCTAAGCGTATACACACACTAGCACGGTGGGGGGGGATGGTGTGGTAGCGTAACGTGCTGTATGCCTTCCGTGAGAGCATACACAAAGGGGAAGTTACTTAATATTTAATAGTTGTTGTCTAGAGGAAGAACTGACTCTGTTTATGCGGTTGAGGGCCTGAGCTGTTGAGGCACCGAAATACATAGAGACACCATCAAGAGATAATCTAGGACAGGGCGGGTTTTAAGGCTCTCGGGAAATTCTGGGGGTGTCTTAGGAGAATGTGTGACGGGAATGTGGTCCTTATAACAGCGCGGGAGGTGGGGGGGGAAGCAGTGACGGTGTGTGGGTGGTGACGGTGTGGAGGATGTTGTTGGTGTATCCGTTGCAGGAATATGTGGAGGGGAAGAGAGGATTGAGTGGGATATTGTAACATATTGGTGTGGTGGTATGTTGACGGGGAGGTTGTGTGTGTGTGTACTGGAGTCAACACAACGTGAGGGAGAGAGAGAGAGACGGGGGGGGGGAGGGGGTGAGAGTTAGTGATCACTATACTTGCTCCACTAAACGCTGATGTTCTTCCGCCCCGGCCTCCGTGTCCGCCCCACCAAAGTTTGGCTCTTTGATGTGAACTTTATACTGCCATCTCTTTTTTTATAGAGAGACCCAGGGAGAAGAGCTGGTCCATAGCGCCCTTCCCCTCCCCTTCTAACTTCCCCCTCCCACCTCCCCTTCACCCTCCCGCCTATCCTTCCGCCCCTTCCCACCCATCTACGACGTGGCCTCTTTCAGTGAGGGAGAGGGATAACAGGAGATGATAGACGGGAAGAAATTGAAGTTTAGGAGAGAACAAGACTATTTGATGAGATGTTTAAATAAGGTTGTAGAACGGAGGGGAAAAACAGATGAGGGAAGCTTGTTGTAGAAAGTTGTGGTCCCGGGGCGAGGAAAACGTTGTTGGTCTTGTTAAAATGTGTTACATACCGCACCACGCTCTATCAACTAAGGCCTTTGAGCGTGTATTATAGGTAGAACATCTTTATTCTTTAGTACAGTATTTAAAATCAAGAGAAACATCACTCACGATACGAAAAAGGAAGACACATGTTGATATAATGTATTATTGCGCTTCAGTAAGTAAGGTCCTTTAATGTGGATGAAAGGTTAGTAAATACACGAGTCATTAACAATAAAAAAAGAGAAAAGTCGACAATGTGTATTCTTAAGAGTTGCGTCCACTTTCCTCACTGGTACATTACTAGCTCCCTCCTCTTGACTTGTACTCCTCGTCACCGTAAGGTTACACTTGAACATTTTCCTGTTTTGTCTGTTATCATCATACCTCTGTAACAGTATAATTTTGTTTATATATATATATATATATATATATATATATATATATATATATATATATATATATATATATATATATATATATATAAAATGTATTTAAAATTTTTCAGACCTTTGTTACAGCATTGCTTTTTTTTGTACATTAATAGATTCATTGCTTTTAATCAACCCTTTGTATGTTTATAAAGCGGTATAAATAATTGGTTCTATAATGAGATTCTCTTGTACTTTGTCTTTAACGTGTGTGTGTGTGTGTGTGTTTATAAGGCCACATAATTTTAGCCTTGATGTGTGTTACTGTAGGACCGCACAAAGAACAGCACCGGGGCTCATTTTTTCTTCAGAAATTCCCGAAGAGTAAATAGGGATCCAATGTGAATTAAATTTAATTATTTTTCTGGTAATACCAAAAGAGTAAAGGGGAATCCTTATTGTAAGATGCTTTTAATACTTTTTATGTAATTACCAAAAGCAGTAGCCAGGGATCCTCGGTATAAATCTGTTGTTTGCGTTATAAGCTTCAGGAAGAGCTTGTGTTTTGGCCGACACGAAGACATTCTCCCTACACAGGTTCCTGCCTCCCACCGAACACAAACACTCCAACAGTTTCTGGGGAGGACGAGGATGTCTCTTGTTTTTCTCCCAGTGTGGCCCAACGTGCAGGACAACACCGGGGACGAAACTTGACCATAAAAGAAATTATACCTGGCCATTTCCCGCTAAAAGATCCAATTTGGGGTCCCGCTTCTCATGCTGTGGTTGGTCAACGACTGGTGTCTGGGGTAAGTGTTATGATGGTGTGTGTCTTTGGTGGATAGACGGGGTTAATAATTGACAAGATTTATGTGATGTTTTAGATATGATTCGAGTAGTGGTGTTCGGTAGAGTAGGTGATGATGATGATACGTTTTCAATTGAACTGAGGGATTCTGAACTTCGCTAGATTGATTCATTCCTGTACAACTGCTTCGCCTCGAATTCCTCAATGGACGAATGTTTGGAGTAAAAT